AATTTTGTGATATGTATGTTTCTCCTCTTGATTAAATATTGTGCTTATAATGATCTTTTAAAACGTAATACTTTGTATTGGTATGGTTTTTCATTTATTAATACAAATTCAAGGTTAATTTTGTGATATGTATATTTCTCCTCTTGATTAAGTATTGTGCTTATTTATACTGATCTTTTCAAACATAATACATAAATAAATACAGACTATAGATAGTAGTCAGATCTTATAGTTAGTTAAGTTAGGTTTTCTAGATATACAGAAATATATTGGAGATAGACAGTCATCAAACCTTTCAAAGACCTTAAGTAAATGGCATTTAAAATGGTTTAGGGTTTTTCTTGACAATGAGAAATGTCTGCTCCTAGCAGCACCAATTACATTTAAGAGGTAGATGGACATTGAAGAAACTTGTTATGGAGTTTGCTTTCAACATGGCAAGATTAGCCATTTGGGCAAGAAACTGCTCTTGCTTAGACTGTTTGACTGTTGCTGTATAATCTGGACATGCAGGACCCACAGGAAAGTCACTACTAAATTTGGACAGTTTTAAAGGTTTCCTGCTTCATGGAAGAGTCTGACAGACTTTCTGCAGGACACAGAAAAATGACTGACAGACTACCAATACAGATGGAGAGCTTGAAATTTCCTGCTTTGCTGAGAAGTCTTTCAAACACACTGTGGCTTATGGGTTAAAGATGGATGCCCCAAAGTTACAGAGGAACTTCAGGTGACTGTCCAGGTAGCGAGATGTCTCTGTCAATTCTAGTGTTTATATATTATCCTTCTGTGGTCTTTGATGGAGTTGAAGACAGATAGTTGTAGTTATAGTTTTCCTTAGTTATGATGAAAGATAAGTTACATATAAGACCTTAGACTCACAAAGAGAGATGATATTTTCTTTAAATCTTACCAAATGTTAATGGACTTAATATTGCAACTATGTTCTTACTTGATAACTGCTCTGTTATATATAATTTGACTATGTTAAAGTTAAAACCTTTCTTTATATTTAGACAGAAAAGAGGAGATTATGGGAGATATCATTCTGTAAATCTGTCTCTTATTGGTTGTTGAATAAAGCACTGTTGGCCAATAGGGAAGCAGGAAGGTGGGAGTAGGAGTTGAGGAAGATTCTGGGAGAAAAGACAGTCACGATGTAGATCGCCAGAGTAAGAGGTCCAGACCCTTTTCTCCGGTAAGAGAAATACTCAGATTAACAATTACGGGTTAAATACTTAAGTCACAGATAGACAGTAAGAAACCAAGCAAACGGCCATCAGCTTCATAAGTAATACAGTGTCCTGTGTGTTATTTGGGGGTTCAGACAGCCATAGGAGATCAAGTCCAGAACTACGTGGATAGTTCAGAGTGGTCATTGCTTTGAAAGTTCTGGAAAGATGTCCACCTTTGGCACAGTCAAGCATGCATGCAAAGCATGGTTTTCCTGGAACTCCTGAGATGTGCGGAGAGCTTCCTGTAAAAAGAACAGACATTTCCAGTGTTTCTTTCCGGCTCACATGAGCTCAGGAAGGCCTTTTGCCACCAAGTCACTGAGAAGAGTCTTTTCATGAAGAGCATCCGCAGCTGCTCTCAGAAGACAGGGGGATGTGGGAACAATTCACGGCCCAACGAGACGCAGCTCTAATGGAAGCAGCTCCCTTTCTTCACCTTTATCCCTAGTCTATTTCTTATGCTTATCCGGGGACCAAGTCATTCATTCTTATGAATACCAAGGAAAAGAAAATACACGATGCAGAAAATGGATCGCCAGCCCCCATGACAACCTCCTTTACAACATGGAGCAGGATAACAATCTAGGGTGAGACATATCATCTGGTTCCCGGTAGATCTCATGCCAGAACACAGAGTTTCAATAGAAGTGGCAACCATCCCCAGAATTCCAATGAAGGGCATGGCTCCCCTGCCTTCCAGCCCTAAGCACAAACCTCCTTCAGACAAAAGGAAAGAACACAGCATGTGCTCTGGGAAGGCCAAGGACTCAGAGTCAGAGCTGGTTTTTTGTTTTGTTTTGTTTTTTGTATACTGGGTTAGTCTTTTCATTCTATTGTCTAAGGATGAAATGCAAAAAGCCCAGAATAACCCCTGTGAGAAATAACTGCCTGGCTAGATGTTTTAGGCCAGTTACCCATCCCTGGGGTTCCCGGGAGATACACACGAATTGAAAGCACATTTTGACAAGCCTGATATCTTTATAATCACATTATAATTTGTTGAGATGCTAAACAATTGTACTTAGATATAGGAAATTTAACAAATACCCCAAGCTGTTACTGTCCTTCCACTCAGGCTTCTGGAAACACATGTCACCAGAATTCAGCTTTTATAAATGAGTCGACATTTAGCCTCATAATTACTACCGTTCACCTAAGATTTGCCCCTTCCTCAAAATGAGCTCAGGCTCCCTTGGATCCTGGGTTAATTTACAAAGCTTCATAGGCCTTTCTCTAGGCGTCCATTCAGTCCTCCAGTGCTTAATGATAGCTTCTTGGTCCCAAGAGGTACTGACTAGCAGGGGCAAAAGAGACAGCCAGGCAAACTCAGTCCCTCACTGCACTGTGTCCATGCTCTTAGGAAAGATGACATAACAACAAGTCCCACATAGTGTGAGTTTCCAACGTACACGTTGAGGAAAAAAGTCACGAGGCACACCACCAGGCCCTAGTTGGGATTGGGAGAAATTGACCTGGCTTGGTGATATTTAGCCTGGCACCCAAATGTCAGACACGAATTGTAAAATGACTGGACAAGCACTGAAGAAGAGGCAATGGTATGAACAGAGGTCTGAAACAGAAAGCAGTCTGTGAACAACACACACCAGACAACCAAGGCAACAAGGAAGTACCGAGAGTCATCCATGGGCTCAAGAGGACAAGACGCCTCAATGTCACAAAAACTTACTACAAAAAAACCAAACCAAACCAAAGCAAATAAACAAAACAAAAAACTAAAAAACTAAGCCATGAAGGCTTCATTGAGCCAATGTTAGGTCTAAAAAGACATCACAGGTGATGGAATTTTGGTTGGTTGGTTGGTTGGTTGGTTGGTTTTTCAAGACAGGATTTCTCTGTGTAACAGCTCTGGCTGTCCTGGAACTCACTCTGTAGACCCGGCTGGCCTGGAACTCACAGAGATCCACCTGCCTCTGCCTCCCTAGTGCTGGGATTAAAGGCGTGAGCAGCGGTGGTGCACAGGTGACGTTTTAAAGGTTGGTAAGTGAGACTTTTAAAGAATACATTTTTAGAGTGGTGAAAATGGAACCCAAGGTGTGACAGATAAGCGTGCTACCCCTGAGCTACCCGCACATTCCAGGGAAGGGGCCTCGAGGGGTCCCCAGGTGATGCTCACTTGCAGCCAGAACCAACCATGCTACTCCAGGAAAGCAGGTTTCTCATAGCCCTGGGACCCAGATCAGACACCTCCCTTTCTACATACACTGCATTAAAAAAAGGAAAACCCATGAAACTTCAGCTTCTGACACGGAGGCGATGTCCGTGTGTTCTCAGTCACTCAACCACAAAGCCATTCTCAACTAATGAACATCTCAACTACTCCCACGTGTATGACACCGGTGTAGGTCAGAGGGATCCGAAGGAATAGCAGCAGATTGTTGTTGGGGTCACATACCAGACACTACTGGACACAGACTAGTACAGCACACCTCCACCTTGGGCTCCCGGTTGAAAATGTGTCATTCCCCGTGTTCACAGCTAATGTTCCCTCTAAAGTACTGTGAGGAAATATCTGGGGCCATGTGGAATCAGTTAAGCCCACAACACTGTGAACTACTGTATTTCTGAGCTGCGTGAGCTGTTCTCCCCCTAATGAACCGTATCATTAATTACAGACACCTCAAATAAAAATGCCTACACACACAGCAGGCATGATATACACAATAAATAAAAAGATCGTGATTTGCGAAAGGACCAGCTCATTCTAAATTAATTGTCTCTTGTTTTCTTGGGCTGTGACTGGAGCCATTAATTTGATTGACCACACCTGGCTGGGAAAGACCTGGCTGTCTGCAGAGTTAGAGAGCTGTGAAGTCTATGGCTCTGCCCACTCCCCTCCCCCACCAGCAATTCCTCCAAACACAGATGAAGCGTTTCACAAAAGTTTGTCATTTAAGTGACGAGCTGCAAAGAGAGAGCTGCAGAGGACACAAAGCTCTCTGCGAAACAACTTTCAAATGGCCTCTCTCATCTTCAAGGCTCAATTAAGAGAGTCCTGGTGTATTGGGCAGCTTCCCATCATTGTGACAAGATTAGACTACAGGTTTTAGTTTTTAAAACTTTTTTTAATTCAGATAAATTTTGATTATATTCTTCCCCTAACCCAAGTCCTTCTGGATCCTCTCCCCCTCCACACAACTTTAAGGTTCTTTTTCCAATAACAAACAAAAATCCAGCACAACAAAAATCCCCAAAAGCAAGAAAACAAAATAAAATCATGCCCCCAAAGAACAACAAAACAAAACACCAAATTATAAGCACACCAAAAAGATCCTGTGGAGTCCATTATATGTTGCTCAACAACTCCTCAACATGAGGCCTATCCTGAATCGGTTGACATACTCAGTGTCACTCTGATGGAGAAAACGGATTTCCCCTCCCCTAGCAGGTATACGTGACAGACAGGTCAATTATTAACCTTTAACTTAATGCAATGTGACCTGTGGGTCACAACTCTAAGACCATCAGAAAACACAGGTATTTACGTTACAACTCATAACAGTAGCAAAAGGACAGTTATGAACCAGCAATGAAAATAACTTTACGGCTGGACGTCACCACAACATGAGGAACTGTATTGAAGGGTCCCAGCACTAGGAAGGTTAGGAACCCCTGATTTAGAAGGGTCTTGTTGCTTAGTGTCCTCTTTCCCAGCTGGCTCTCACACTCTTTCCCCGCAGGTTCCCAGAGCTCCGAGGGGAGGGGTTTAATGGAGACACCCATTTAGGGCTGAGGGAAATACTGCACCTTGTCTGCCGTCCTGGTCCGAGGTCACCTAGCCACAGGGGCCCATGTTGGCGCACAGCAACGGGTGTGTGGCAGAGAAGAGGCCCATCTCTAGCAGCAGAAAAGCAAAGTGAGAGAGAGAAAAAAAATAACGTAGGCCCAGAATCTCCACAGTCCTCCCAGGACACACCTCCTCTGACATCACTTCCTTCTGCTAGGCCCTGCCTCCTAAAAGCTCCAGCATCTTCCCATAGCATCATGGGGCAGACACCAAGCTCTTAGCATATGTGCATTTGAGGGACATTTCACATCCAAACCATAATACCCACTGTCAGAATGCTTGCACACCAGACCCTAGTCTGGAGGTACTACAAAACTGACGCTACCAACAGCAACAAGGGAACGAGGTTCATAGCACCAAGTTACTACTAACAAGATCAAACGCAAAGGAACTGTCAATCATCTTCCTTTAATGATAGTAATGGTCAAGTCCTTTAAATACAGATACTCTAGGGGGGAAAAAGTCTTTACTGAAAATATTTTTTTTCTTTTCATCATCAGTTTTTTTTTTGCATTCAAGTCTGGATTTTCAAATGACAGACAATATTCATACACAAGTCTAACCAATCAACCAAAATAAGCTCCTTAATTCCATGTTGCCAATATAAATGTAAGTAAGGTAGAAATTAGCCTGTTAAGAGTACTGATTTTTACCAATAGCAAACTACTGGTAATTCTTTGATGATTCTCATTTTATAAGTGTGGGGGGGTTAGCAACTAAATATAATTTATTTGCTCAATGTGAGAAGCAAATTGTTAGCCAGTTTGTTCAAAGTGAAGAACCTACTATCATTATAAATAGGTGGGATTAATTATGACCAGGGGGATTGCTCTTGTGTGGTACCCCAGGTTACTCTACAGCCCCTCGTTCCCCTTCCCTTACATATTCCAAGCTGAAAATTCTCAGAAGCGGATCAGGCTTTACCTACAACGTCCCTCCCAAGCTTGGTACATCACAGGTACATAACATTTGTTGACAGGTAGCTTGCCTAAAAAGCTTGACTCTAGAGTCTCCCAAAGGTTGAGAGGGATCTGGAACATTCTTATGTTTCCCAAATCCCTGTGGAGCATGAAATAAAAATGAAAATGTGTTATGGGGCCTCAGAGCATTTCATGGGCCCTCTTTTATCCCGTCTCCCCCTTCCGAGGTTATACCTGGGTGTGGCACCAACACTCTAAATACACTACTTTTTATTGGATATGTGGCCTGAGCCTAAGTCACCTGTCCCATGCTGACTGCCACAGTACAGATTCAAGTATGGTGATTTGAACCCCATCCCGCAGTCTTCCATATGAGGACATCGTATGCAGAAATCGTCCCAGACGTCTGCTTCTGATTCCAACTCTGAGTCTGATATTTTTGCAGCAGGATTTTTATAGACTGAGCATCTGCAGTGTTATAGCCCTGTCTTGGGACAGTTTTAGCCCAAAAGACACGGTCTGTGTTTAGCCCTAAGTCCCAGTGAACAGATGGACTGAGATGCCTACAATCTTGTAGACGGGATTAGGAACCAGACTATAAACGTGGAGATGATCCAAGGGGGAGCCTTTGGAGAGTGAAAGGAGGTGTTATTCATCATAGTGGGACCGCCGGCCAAGTCAGGGTTCTCATCTGAGAAGGTCGGATAGTGGGTTCATTTTCTCCTTGACTTTTATAGTGTGCCTTGCAGTGTGCCTTCCTGAGCACTGAGAATCACAATAGTGTGCTGTCCCTAAGGTTGCAATAAAAGCCACAGCACTTCTCTCCAGGGAAATGCACAAAGGGAAAGACCCAGAAACCAGGGCTTATGATGTCAGGGGCACCATCTGACCTCCATCCATCGCCCTGGAGTCAGACCTCATGAACCTTGGTGTGTCTTTAATGGTTTCCAAAACAACCCTTTTCACACCGTACTCTGGGCAATCCATACCTGCTTCCTTCCCTAAGCCACAACGTTACCTTTGCAGACAGAAAACTAGACTAACATGCTGAATCCAGGGTTGCCAAGCCAGCAGTTTGCCAGGAAGAAGAGCCACACGCAAACTGAACAGTGTCCTCCCTGTTTTGGTGACTGTTTAGTGGTTGGCAGATTGAAGAAAATAACAGCCAACAGGTAGCCAATCTAAATTTACATAGAGGATAAAAGCAACCAAAATGATAAAGTGTCTCTACTCATGGCTGTGAACAAACACTTTAATCCGACCATGAATCTCAATTATTTTCATATTTGTTGCATGAAAAGACTGTATATTTTCCAAATGTACGAAGAAAGTTAAAAAAGAAAATAGAAGCAAAAGCAGATTAAAGGAAGTTTACTATGTCGGGGAGTTTTATGAATGGGGGAGCTCTTCCCCAAGCTGGACCAGAATCGATATAACTGCCCAGCAATCATCTCTGAGAAGCCCAGTAGCATCTCATTAACAGAGCCCCACTCACAGGAGATGTGTGAAACAGCCTAGCCAAGAACCTCCATCGTGGAAAAGTAGCAGCAACACTGCCCAGGCGCAGGGTATCCTAAGAACTCTCAACTTGTCCTTTCTGCCTTCCACTGGAAATGTTTCCAGTTGCCATGAAAAAAATCTCCCGAATCCCAACAAGAACCGCTCACAAGCCCATGGCCACAGGAATCCTGGACTCACCACTGTCCCTTGGCTGCATGATCCCCATAAAAACAAACAGGAATTGACTGCCTTGTGACAGGCCCATCATGTGAGAAGAAGCCCTGTGGGGTCACTTGCTTCCTGCCACCTTGAACCCCTTCTGCTCTCCGAAGAAGCCGGCAGTGTTGGCTCTAACTCTGTTAATAATCGGAGGGCAGGTTCAGATGATGTCTAGGCGCGTCCATGCCCGTATGGACTTCAGGGAAGGGCATGAAGCCTAGCAACCTTAATCATCAGCAAAAATAGATTACTTTCAGGGATTTTAAAAAATGTGCCCATCTTATACATTTATGAAATAACTCTACCCTACCCAAATAAAAACTAAAAATGGTGAGCTCGAGGCCAGGCTGGACCGACAGCCTCCAAAACAATACAGAGAAACCCTGTCTCGTAAAACCAAAAAAAAAAAAAAAAAACCTAAAAATGCCCATTAGACAAACCACCAATCTAACCCAATAGACGCATGGTGTCACTGTACTGATACAAAGGCACTATAGTTCATAGAGGAAAATCTGTCACCGTCGTTGTCATGCATAGATCCATCTTGACATGTGTCATGGTGGGGCATGTCTCTGAGAGGCAGAACCTAGCACCCTCTACAATGTGTTCAGAACAACACACTTAAGGGGTCTTGTACAACTTTTAGGTTCCTGGCTTCTGAATGCAGAGAATAAGGGGGAGAGGACTCAAGGAAACACTTACCAGCTACATGGGGATCAGTTCAAGGCATTCAGGAGGTGTGAACGTCTGCAGGGTGCCCGTCTATTTAACAGGTTTAAGTGTTGTGGGAAAACAAAGCACAGGTGGTAAGGAGAGCCTTGCTAGAGAGAGTACTGTATGCACAATTTAAATAAATAAATCTTTAAAAAATAGTAACTCAAGAGAAACAGTCAGGAGACAAACAACATGGCTTCAGTTGATTCTAGAACAGCCTTTCTCACCCTTCCTAACACTGGGACCCTTTACAGTTTCTCATGTTGTGGTGACCCCCCCATAAAGTTATTTCCTGTAATTTTGCTACTGTTGTGCACTGTGGTGTAAATATCTGGGTTTTCTGATGGCCTTAGGTGACCCCCGGGAAAGGGTCATGCCACCCCATAAAGGGGCTGTGGCCCACAGGTTGAGAATCCGTGGACTAAAGCCAAGCAAGACAATCATCAAAGACTTTTGAAGATGTTGGGGGAAAGGAATAGTGCGAACTGGACTCATCTTGTTAGCAATGATGCTAGTCTGTCCTCGTGTCTATAAGTTACGGCAGCTTCAAGAGGAAAAGAAGAGACTCAGACCTGACCAAAGTCTAATAATTATCAGTGAGGGGAAGAGCAGGTAAATCTTTACGTCCTATCCCCCTTTTCCACTTACCCAAAGATTTTTTAAAAGTGTAAACAAGGGCTGAAGAGGTGGGTGAGTGGGTGTAGAAACCCGCGTTCAGTCCCCAGCATTCATGTAAGAAGCTCTCCCAGGAGTGGGGTTGCACACAGGCTTGTCATCCCGGCAGTGAGGGTGAGAGGGAGGCAGAGACGAGAGGATCACTGGAGATGCTGGGCTGCGCAGTGTAAGCCTAGTCAGTTCAAGGTCATTAAGAATCCCTGTCAACAGCAACGACAGCAAACAAAGATGGACACTGGCGGAAGAATAATACTTGCCTGGATCTCACCAAACGGCCACATGATGTGCTAGTGAATAAAATCCAGCGCAGAACACACAAGTGTGGGATATAACTTACACACAAACTCTCTTAAAGGGATTCATAATTAAGAGGAACAAAAATTTTGTGCTCTGTGTAATCCTCTTTAATGTAAACAGAAATATAAATATGTGGGTAGGGATACCTACATGCAGTTTAAAAATATAAATATGCACATGCACTTGCAGAAATGCATGTAGATATTTTTAATTTCTAAGTTAAGTCACAGGAAAAAAAACATTTATTTTCTTAAGAGGGACTTGGTAAGCCGGGCATGGTAGTACATGGAGGCAGAGGCAGGTGAATCTCTGAGTTCAAGGCCAGCCTGGTCCACAGAGGGACCTGCAGAGAAGAACTTGGGGGGGGGGTGAGATAAATAACCTTTCACTTTTTGCTTGGTTTGTTCCTGCAACACTTAGAGAATAAATACATAATAATTTTACTTAAAGATTTATTCTTTTCAATGCAGAAACTTTGTGTACTCTTCTTACACTATTCATGTCTCTGTGTTTGAAAAGCAAGAATTTCTGTTTTAAAAACCATTTAGTACAGGGCTTGAGGGATTGCTCAGCCATTCAGAGCACATGGCAATCTTCCAAAGAGCCCCAGTTCAGTTCCCAGTGCCCATATAAAAGAGCTTGCAACTGTCTGCAACTCCAGCTCCAGAAGATGCAACAGCCCATTCCAGGTTCCTCGGGTACCCGCACTCATAAACACGTCCCTGCGTGCATACACACATACTTACAGTTAAAACTAAAACAAGTCTTAAAACACAGTAAGACAGCAGGGTAAAGAAGAGTAGAATAGATTAAACTCATTTTAAAACATTAGCTTGGGAAGAGTAACAAAATGGATAACTCCTTACCAAGAATAACTTAAAAAGTAAATTGACCGGGAAGAGG